TATATATATATATATATATATATATATATATATATATATATATATATATATATATATATATATATACATATATATATATATATATATATATATATATATATATATATATATATATATATATATATATATATATATATATATATATATATATATATATATATATATATCAACTTAAAATAAATATATAATGCAAAAATGGTTATATATGTGTGCATATGCACACATCCGCACACGCAAATCTTTACACATCTCTCACATCTGCATGTCAGTTATTAATGTCAGAGGATTTGGCTTTCATAGTGATGACTTTAATCTGATTAAATGCATCATCACAGGCCGGTTTATAGAGCTTGTCGCAGTTCCTGATTCATGCGCTCTTGTTTAAAGCGTCATACATGTGCGTAAGCGCGTGTGTTTTTATTCTTCGGCAAGGCTAGACATGAAAACCGCCCGCAGTCAAAACCTTTCAGTGCCTTCGGACCCCTTGCATCTCCACAGGTCTCCATAGCAACAGCAACCCTTTTGAAAGCCCATTCAGCCTCTGCTTTATCCGTCCAGCATGAATCACAGTGTTTTGGGTGTGTTCAGAGAGAAAGTTTCATCTCGCGGATAGACTTGAGATGATAACCGGTTTCGAGTTTTACAGCGATTTGGAAAAGCTAAGGTTTTAAAACAGAGGTTTTATAAGATCGAGAGTCAAAGTGGTAGAGCATTGGTAAGTTGTCCAATGGAGTAGGTCGAATAGGTTTTACATCAGTGATGCCTGGGTAAGACTTTAGGGTACATTTTGCTCAAACTAAGTGTTTAAATGTTCCTAAAATAAAATATATTGTGTTCAATGGAGGGAAAAGGTGTTGTTTTTCACCTAGACATCTGAAAAAGAGCATATTTCAAAGCACAATACTGTGATATTTTAATCCACAGTTATCATACCGTCAGAATGTTATGCCTAGTCGCAGATGTGGGCCACGTTTCACTCAATTATTCAGTGCCGTGAGCAGCAACCTGACACCGACTGTGCCGCCGCTTTCTCCCGGTGAGAACACACCCGGAATAGCATCAGTATGGCAAGTGATATGCGCACAAATCCTCTTTAGTGGCCTTCCTTTCTAGCAGGCCTGGATTAAATGGATTATAGCCGTCAGTAAACGGGGTTAAAATGCACAGCATGCAGCTCAGCCAATCAGAAGCTGCTGCACCTAAAGGATCCATCCCTGTGGCCAATCAGCCGCAGGGTGATTTGCATAAGTGATGTCAGCATGCATTCATTCCATCCACTGTCTAGGAATATCATGGCGGTTCTGTGGGATAATGATTGTTTGATTATAAATCAGGACGGTTGGACGTGAAACTTCTTTTCTTTTGCATGAATATCTTGTGTGTTAATCTTCCTGCGCACAAGGCAAGTACATCCACTTGTAATGCTTAGATTGTGTGTGCTTAGTAGAGGACGAGATTTTTGCTTCCTCCTTCATCTGGTGAGAACAGAATTAAAGCCATAGGTTGTGGTAAATTAGGACATCAAGTTGGCGTGGAAACAATTTACACTCAGAATATGCTGCAAAATATATGAAGAGATGTTCAATTTAGGGGTAGTTCACACAAAAATGAACATTCTGTCATTGTTTAATCTCACTTCACTGGAGTTTCTTTCTTCTGTTAAATACTAAAGAAGATATTTTGAGAAATGCTGACATCTTCCATGGTAATCTTTTTTGTTGTGATGGAAGTCAACCAGCATTCTTCGAAATATCTACTTTTGTGTCGATGAAAGAAATAAATATTTAAAACCACAAGAAGGAGAATAAACAATGAGGAACTCATTTTTAGGTGAACTATTCCTTAAAAACATTTATTTTATTTAGTTAAACTTTCTATAGTCATGTTGACAGTTTTTGTGTGCATCAGACTGGTTTCTTCAGGATACTGGTTGTTTGGATGGTTTGTTTAAGGGATAGTTCACTCAAAAATAAAAAATCTGTCATCATTTTCATCACCCTTCACATGTAAATCAAAGTTTCTTTCTTTTGTTTAATGCGAAAGAAGATATTTTGAAGAAAGCTGGAAACCATATTTGTTTCTACTGTGGAAGTCAATGGTTACAGGTTTTCGGCATTCTTCAAAGCATCTTCCTTTTAACAGAAGAAAGAAACTCTTAAACAACTTTAGGGTGCATAAACAGTGTTTAAATGTTCATTTTTAGGTGAACTGTGCCTTTAAACATCTCATTTTAAAAGAGAAAATTGAGATTATTTTCTTTATTAACTTTGCGTAATCATTTTTAAAGTGGTGTTCATATGCATCAGACTGGTTTCTTCAGGAGACCGGTAGTTTGGATGGTTTGTTTAAGGGATAGTTCACTCAAAAATTAATGTTCTGTCATCATTTACTCACCCTTTACCTGTAAATCAAAGTTTTTTTCCTCTGTTGAACCGTTAGAACATATTTTAAAGAAAGCTGTAACAATTGACTTCCACAGTATTTGTTTCTCCTACTATGGAAGACAGTGGTTACAGGTTTTCAGCATTCTTCAAAGCATCTTCTTTTGTGTTCATCAAAAGAAAGAAACTCCTAAATTGAGGGTGAGTAAACATGTTTAAATGTTCATTTTTAGGTGAACTGTCCTTTCAAACATCTAATTTTGAAGTATAACTTTGCATAATCTTGTTGACAGTGGTGTTTGTGTGCATCAGACTGGTTTCTTCAGGATAGAGGTTGTTTGGATGGTTTGTTTAAGGGATAGTTCACTCCAAAATGAATATTCTGTCATCATTTACTCACCCTTTACTTGTGAATTGAAGTTTCTTTCCTTTATTGAAAGTGAAAGAAGATATTTAAAAGAAAGCTGAAAACCTGTAATCATTGGCTTCCACAGTATTGGTCACAGGTTTTCAGCATTCTTCAAAACATCTTATTTTGTGTTCAAGAGAAGAAAGATAGTCAAAAAACAGCTTGAGGGTGAGTAAACTTGTTTAAATGTTCATTTTTAGGAGAACTGACCTTTTAAACATCTCATTTTGAAGTAGAAAACTTTGCATAATCATGTTGACAGTGGTGTTTGTGTGCATCAGACTGGTTTCTTCAGGATACTGGTTGTTTGGATGGTTTGTTTAAGGGATAGTTCACTCCAAAATGAATATTTTGTCATCATTTACTCACCCTTCACCTGTAAATCAAAGTTTTTTTCTTCGGCTGAATCATAAGAAGACATTGTGAAGAATGCTTTAACCATTTACTTTCTCAGTATTTGTTTCTACTATGGAAGTCAATGGTTACAGGTTTTCAGCATTCTTCAAAACATCTTCTTTTGTGTTCATGAGAAGAAAGATAGTCACAAACAACTTGAGGGTGAGTAAACGTGTTTAAATGTTCATTTGTAGGTGAACTGTCCTTTATTAAACATCTCGTTTTGAAGTAGAAAAACCAAGATATTTTACTTTGCGTAATCATGTTGACAGTGGTGTTTGTGTGCATCAAACTGGTTTCTTCAGGATAGAGGTAGTTTAGATGGTTTGTTTAAGGGATAGTTCACTCAAAAATGTATATTCTATCGTCATTTCACCCTTCACTTGTAAATCGAAAATGTAAATTGAACACAAAAGAAGATATTTTGAAGAATGGAAACCTGTAACCATTGACCTACCCAGTATTTGTTACTTTCACTATGGAAGCCAATGGTTACAGGTTTTCAGCATTCTTTAAAACATCTTCTTAGCAGAAAAAGAACTCATAAACAACTTAAGTGTGAGTAAACATGTTTAATTGTTCATTTTTGTGTGAACTGTCTCTTTAACGGTGCTCTGAGGTCTGACTCATAAAGCTTATTTGTTAGGATGGTAATCCAGGCTCATAGCCAGGTTGCATAAGGCTTCTAGTGGCTTCCAAAGCACCTGTAGTGCATTCAGCAGATCTCCAGCACATGCTGTCGGGAAGCATCAGGTCTGCTGCTTTTGCTTATTTTAGTACTGGCTGGAGTCTTATTTTTGATCTTCTTTGTTTAGGTTCAGTCAAGTGTCAGGAGCTGCAGCTTGGGATGCTTTTA